GTTTGATTTCTTGATCCTCCTGCGTATCTGACATGCTAACTCCTGCCTATGCCAAAAGTAACATTTACATGGACAGCCTTCAGATAAGGTCACAACCAACTGCAGACATTTCTGGCCAGCTTTCTATTGGTCATTAATCGATCTCTTGCAGTTTGCCCTCAGCTAGTCTAAGATGTAATTGTTTTATGAATCGTATGTTTTATGAATGAATCAGTATTCCCCATTTAAACGTTCAACTGACATGTAGCACTTAGGAAAGCTTGCAAGCACACTTTCCATAAGACCAGTTAGCCCTCTGGCCCAGATAAGGCATTCCACATCTTGCTGTCCTACTGTACAAAGCTCTACATGTTTTTTGTGGTGCTATCTTGAGGAGGGACCCTGCACAGAGAACTAGCTTTATTCCACTATAGAAGTAGGTAGTATAAAGCTGCAAATAACATATACATTAAAGCTATAGTATTTACTTTTTTCAGATATTTGTTGTTGTAGAAATCTGCTCCAAAACCTTTTATCTGGAGAGATGCTGTCAAAGCCTCCTGTGACTCAGACTCATTTAACAGCAGTGCAGATTTATTAGCTTCTAAAAGGTTTTGAGTGGGACTGACCTGTTTAACCAATCAGAGATTTTCAATTATTTCTGCTTGATCAGGAAGTTTTGTTGCATTCTCATATCTTGTGTTGTCATAACGACATGTCTGAAGACTTGGGCAGAGCAAAGCAGATCATAGTAAAGCACAGTGGAGCAGGGAGATGGAGTGCTCAAGGGGGATTTGTTGGGTTTTTACTCTATAATAGTAAGGTCTAGAGTCTAGACCTTACTTTGTAAAGTGTCCTGAGATGACACACCCTCAACCACACACACAATTACAAGCAGAAAAATAGAGTACTTTTCAAATTTCTTGGATGGATATTTTAAGGAAGTTTTATAGCAATACAGAGCCATTAAACACTGTATAATAAACTCCAACGGTGAACTGAATACCTGTAGTAAATTTGTCTGTCTATTAATTTTTTTTTTTCTGAAAGTTTGAACAGGTTATTTCCTGTGTATACTGCAATATAGCAGATGATTTTCCTTAGCCTATATTTAGTCTTGGAGTGATATCTGGTCCTTTCACATGTCAAAACTGATTGTATCCATGTTCTATGTAGAATCTCTCGAGAAGAGAATTTGGCTTGACATCCATAAGCTCATCTTCAGTTTGGATGTATTCCACATCTTTTTTTTTTGTCCAACAAACAGATCCATCACCCATGCATCTTTTGTGACATATTCATTAATATCTGAAAATCTGGATTTGATCTCTTCTTTTATTAAAAAAACATTTTGTTATAAAATAACCCTTAAATAGTTGTTTTTTCCCACAAAAAAATAAAAAATAAATAAAAATCTTACACCCTTTAAAATGAAGAGGGCCTGGCGACCCCTAGTGGGCTTCGGGATTCCAGGGTGGTGAATCACAGATTTTTTCCCCTGCACATTAAGAATAAAGCCAAACTTTAACCTTTCCCCTTTTTTTACTGGTAGGCCTATTTTAACTTTTTTTTCTCGACATTTCAGCTTTATTCTCGAAATATTTCTACTTTATTTTTGACATTTCTACTTATTTCTTGACATTTGAACTTTATTTTTTACATTTTGACTTTATTCTCGACAAAAGTAATTTTAAAAAATCTTCCTCTTCCCATTTTTTCCCTTAATGTGGCCCAAATTCTCCATCGTATCCTACACATATCTGATAGGCACCCAAAAATGTTACATCTGGAAAGGTTTAGTACTCAGGACTTTTGGTGCCTGGGTATTTATAACACAGCTAAAGGGCTAAAGGGAACTAACCCCGTCAGGAACTAATACGTTTGTGCACCTCTTGTCCGTGCTTATTTCGAGGTAGTACCGTCCGCAGGAAGTGGACTGTCATTCTGGCTGTTGTGTCCTTGTTAGTTGCATAGCAAGTTCGCTGTCATAACTGGCAAGTAAATGCATACCATTTGGAAAGATGAATTAAATTGTACTTAAAGATTGAATTTGGAAGAAATTTGTGCTTACCTGCTGTTAAAAACAGCACCATGTTGCGTGTCGGAAGCAAAGCTGCTTGGTAAGTTCTAACAGGTTCTAATAGGTAATGGTTACAGAAGCTAGCTAGTTAAATTAGCTGTGTTGTAAAAGCACATATGAATCATTTGACAGCCAAGCTAGCTACCGTAGCTGTGGTCCACAAAGTGTTATAGCTACCTACATACATAAGCTCTGATACATCCCGTTACTAACAAAGCCATTTGGGCTTTTGTTGGGGATATTGACGTTACTTAGCCAGGTAGCAATTCCTAGTGGTTGGTGAATTTGGTTTCCAATACATCGGGACACAGTGGTCTAGTGTTGTCAGAAAACATTAGACTTGTTTGACAGGCTATTGTGATTTGATTTTACATTCCTTTTATTCATAAATACTGTATGCTTAGCTAACTATAGAGAAGTAATAGATCATAGAAATATTAATGCATTAACAGAATTTGAATATCTGTTTCTTTAAAATATGTACTATATCTTCTTTTTGTCTGTATGATATATCTTCTTTTGTTGTTACATTGTATTAACAGGGCCACTCCTAATTGATAGCTTGTAATAATGCAGAAGAATTAAACACCTGCTACAGTGAATTAGTTATTACAGCAATAACACTTATCAGCACTCAAGTTCTACACCTAAAGATGGATTAACATTTTTATATTACTTTAATGTTGTTATTGTTTAATGTCTCGGTCCTACTATTGCCACTGCTATTGCTATTGCTATAACAACATCATCATCAAGCACTGTCAAGCTTTAGCTTTCTTGAAGTAGTCTCTTGGGATTAAAATTACATTTCATAGTACTTTGTGACCAGTACCTCCATCATAAGGTATAGAATTGAGTGGATGGCGAACAGTCTCCTCTGAGATTATTGTCAGGGCTATATATCTATAGGCATTTGAAAAAAGGCCAGGTCTTGTAATTTCTTCTTATTTCTCTATCCTTTCAAGTATGGGCTGCAGGAACCTGGTCTCCTCCAACATGGGAGTGAGAGTTCGGGTACCTCTGCAGAAACTGCACTCTCTGTCTTGTGCCATCCACCACCGCTATTCGAGAAACACCACCACTCAGCGACCTCCTCATCGCACGGCAGCCCGTTATTTTACTTCCATGTCACGGTTGCCCATGCAGCCACCCAAGCCTCACCCTGGGTCAGGGGGTCATAGCTACCAGCAACAGCGCAGCTTCTGGGTGGCCCGCCTCGCTGCTAGGTTGTTAAGGCTCCGATACATTCTGCTGGGCACGGCAGTAGGAGGGGGGTACACAGCTAAAAAGGTCAATATTGAGTCCTGGAGTGTGTGTCTATGACTTAAGATTTCTCAGAGCATTTCAACCTTTTTGACCCACCGTCTTGTTTCAGGTTCTCAATTATTACATGATCCAAGGTCTTGTATTTTATATGCAATTCACATTTAATAGTTGTAATGCATTAATTGTTTTTTACATCTGCCATGGGACTTTACTGCTTATTATAAATATGCAGATGTATTTCTAATGTATTGAAATACATATGCATGCTGTATCCTGTACTCAAAGGTTTGTCATCTTACTTGCAGACTTATGACGAATGGAAGGACATGCTGCCTGATTTTAGTGAATACAACTGGGTCATTCCTGATTTTGTCTGGGAGCTGAGTGAACAAATTGATCTTGGTAAGCATCTTTGTTTTTAGTGTTATTATTCATGAAGTGAAAGCTGTGCAGTTCACATCTAAATTATAATTTAATGTGGTAATGCCTGACCATCATAAGTCTCCTGAGCTATGTACTGTATCTGTTAACTTTTGTATTCGTAGATAAATTGGCCAAAGCTCTACCAGAAATGGAGGAAATAGCCAAACTACTACCTGACCTTGATAAGATCGGACAGAACTTCACTTTCCTCAAAAGCCTTCTGTCATCTGGTAAGTGAATAAACTTTCATCTAGATTTACAAAGTTCCATCATCTGCTACTACAAAAATTATTTGCTGACAACAAAGTGTCTAGTCCATTGTTTAGGTTTCAATAGTGGTAATAATAACTGTACCCAAGCAAACATATCTTCCTCATCTGCACTGATCTATGCTTTTATACAGTGGGTACGGAAAGTATTCAGACCCCCTTAAATTTGTCACTCTTTGTTATATTGCAGCCATATGCTAAAATCATTTAA